CCTGGGTTCCATCTCCAGCACCTCAAACCTCCCCCCAAAGACGACATAATCTCTAGCCAATGGAAAGTCCTAATTAGTTTGGGGGTCAGCACCAGTAGGAACAGATCTCAGGTTCTATGATTAACTGATAGCCAGTTCTCTTCTAATGACCAACAGGGTCTTCCCACGTGGGTTTGTTTTTTCTGTCTCCCTGCAGCTTCCACTGTCGGCCCATTGGCTCCACAAAGTGACTTAGAACACAAGTGGTCACAAGTGCCCCTGAAGCTGAACAGAGACCTCTGCTGCAGGCGAGCCTGCTCACTCTGACAGGACATTTGCCATCCTGACAACTAACATTTGCACTTCTCACTGAGGCCTGACGCCTCCATCATACCCAGCACGAGACAAGGTCTGCTCATAGAGCAAGGTGAAAAGCCAACATTTTTTTTTTGACTCAAACATAACTGACAATGGTCGAACAGTATTTCTAAAATTATTAAAATAAGCATTTAGTGGCAACCAAAAAGCTATGGGATTTTTAAAAATTATTTTTAAAAGTATTTTCACAGCAAAGATGCAAGTCTCCATTGCTATGTATACGCTGGTCAGAAACTGTGGCTTGCTTGTTCAGACTTCTTCCCCATGTGTTATAATATTGGTATTTAATAGGAAAATAAACTACATAGACTTTATCTGTATGCATCCATTTGCACATTTTCTTACAAAAGAGGGTGAAGCACACCGGCACTCACAAATTCTATGCCATTTCGGTTAAAATTGTGACCATCTGTACATTATATTACAGTATTAACAAGTTTGTTCTACCCATTGGGTAGGATATATGCATAATACACCCACTTATATGCAGCACCTTACAAATAAAACGGTAAGAAGACAGACGACCGAAGAAGCACCATTTTAAGAGAGGCACAACAAAGGTGGACGCCAAGCGTGGGGACAGGCTGGGTTCCGACATCTGCTGATAAGAGCATCAGGCACCTTGGCTGCTTAGAAACGGACAGAGTTGGGGACAGAGAGGGTGTTCGTGCATGTTCAGTCCCCCTTTCCCCCATCGACTTTTATCCTTGCCACATTACACCGAAACAAGCACATCCCTAGGGGCAAGGAGGGCGAGAGGAAGACTTGACTTTCTCAGCAAGACGACCCTGCACTGGGACAGCAGCCCATGACACATCTGACTTGGAAAGCAGCACCAGCAGCAAGTGACAGTCTAACCCTGGCGCTAACAGAAACCTGAACTACCAAGAGACACAGCGCTCTGAGCATTAAATGACATCTTTGTTCCTGAAGAGTGGGGGTTATGGAAGGCCTGGAGTGAGGTCGCCATTTGTCCTTATCGCTATGGACTGTCCAGCTCCTGGCAGCCGTGCTGGCTGGGATGGGCAGAGCTGGGTGAGCCATGAAGCAGCTAAGAACTCCTGTTTGTAACTTGGGGTGCAAGGAAAGAGTGACTAGGGTGTGCAAGAAGAGCAAAAAAGATAACGGCATCCTGTTTTTCCCTTCTCTGCTAAGCTTTGGAAATTTTAAGAAAAATGAGTGTTTTACAAGAAGTCTACGTAGCCATTCTGAGTAGCAAAACTCAGTGGCCGCACTCCCTAGCAATGGGACTTTAGAAGGTACAGGGGCTGCCAGAGTGGGCTCCCTTGTGAGGGAGGGCTGTGCCGGTGCTCTCTCTACTAGCCACAAGCTGGTGGCCTTGAGTGCATCCACGCAGGACTGGGAGTCTCCCTAAGAGAAACTAGATAGAAGGAGGACCCACTGGTTCTGAGAGGAAGGTAGGAATCTGAATGGATTTTTTCAAGAACAGAAAAGCTTTCTGAAAGAACTTCCCTTTGGGCTCTTCTCATCCTTATGAAGATAAAAATAAAAGTGAAGGTCAAGGAGAGTGACTTAAGACATTCAAGAAGCAAGAACCACTGGTCTGAGTGCCTAATTCCCACACTGGTGTGAGGAGGCCTCCCAGTCTCCGGTTGATGCCTCTTTCCTCACAAATTTAAGCTGAACTTAGCAGAGGTTCTCATGCCATATCTGTAAATTTTAGTCATTCTCCTCTCCTACCTACGGTCTCTTGTGGGCTGAGAGTGTCTCTGTGGTGGGGATGACACAGGACACACTTGTCAAGCTGCTTTATCAGTAAATAATGGACACAAAAATTAGACCTTCTATTAGACTATCTATTGCTTCAGTGTTTAGAGAAAACTGGAGTTTTGAAAAAAACGTAAGTCAGAAGACAGCTTTCCTGTAGATGGGGTCCACATGCATTGGGTAGAAGCTTCTGGACAAAGGACAAAAGTCACAGCCACCTGCCCAGAGTGCTCCTTCCAACAATGTAGTCTTTCACTGCAGTGCTCTGAGAAATACCTGTGATTATAAACCTACCATCAACTGCCTACGTCACTGCTTTCTACACCGCACCCTCAGATTCTAAGCATAGGCTTCGTGAAAGACAACATGCCCTTAGGTAGTCAACACCACTGAGCCTGGCCGGCCACAGGCTCAGAGGAGCTGCTGATCTAAAGCACCTCCCCTCTCTGTCGAAGGGAAATTGACTATTAATCCAATTTATGATCTTGTCTTTTAAACTAATCCCTTAACGGAGGCCCAGCCTCCCAGACTTTTCAAAGTCACTGTTTGCTCTGCAAGTGTCTTTAAGTCACTCATTAACTGAAAAGGCAATTCTCTAGGGCACCTGAACAGACCTGTCTTTTGAAGGACGATTAAAGTTACTTGAACTAAATAATTGTTTTGCCAATATCATTGGTATCTACAAAAGTTTATATACTTGCAAAGTTGCTAAGGAATCTACAAGTTTCTGACCTTAGCTTTTTCTTGTAGCAGGTAGAAAAGCAAAGACTGTGCAGCCATTTTGAGCTACAGCTAAAGGGTGGGGTCACCTGCTTTACTAAAACTGCAGGCAAGATTTGGAATGATGAATCCATAAGCCAGCCTTCTCATCTGCACCTGACCACTCATTCACACTGAGTCCCCACTCAGGACCACATCATCTCTCACCTCTGCCTTTGTGACACAGGGCCCCAGCCTGTTTCAAGCATCGGTCTGACCCCGAGCCAGCGACCTTTCAGGAGGTTTCCAGGATGATGAGAAAGGTTATCCCTGGCCTCAAGTCAGCCTCTGCCTTGAGCACTGATTTCTCCCTGCAAAGGACAAGACTGAAGCCAGCCCAGACCCTCCTCTGAGGCCCTCAAGTGCACGACCTTCCCAGCTGGGTGTCAAGCACAAGCTGCCCATCTTTTCCCCCGGACTATGACTGGTTCCGTGGCTGTTACTGTGTGAAATGGGTGAATCCAAACTTCAGTCCTCAAAACCAGCCATACCAGTGGCTGGCCTACTTAGTTTAGCAGAAATGAGCAGAAGATCAGAGATCAGCTGGGCTCCAAACAGTCACTCTAGTTCTCTTGTAAGCACACAAAGTCACCTCACTGAGGAACCACCTCTGGAGACAGACACAGGCAGACAGCAACACACATGCTGACTCGGCGTTAAAGCTGCACAAACAGGAGTCACTGACTCACCATTCCAGTTCCTTTCGTTAAGTACAGGGGCCAAAGACGCCCAAACACCAAACCCAGCCGCTTCACTGCAGAGAAGGCCTCCTCAGCACAGGGTTTGCCTGTGTGACAGAGCCAGCGCCTACGTCTGTCTATCTGCAAGAGAGTTCTTTTTTCATTGTACATAAGAATGCTTGCAAATATCAGAAACAGGAAACTAAGGCTGACAGTATTGAGAATCAGTTTTCCACTTGTATCTTAACTGCATTTGTGCTTGGTCCTGTGCTGTCACAGTTGCTATGTGACCAACCTCTGAACCCAGCACGAAGGCTGACAGGGAGGGCAGCAAATCCCTTCAGGAGTTGAGTAGGTCTGAGCTGGAACGCTATGCCGGGTGTCCCTGGTGAAATGCAATTGGCTGATTATCATGACTGGTACACATGGTGTCCTTCCATCAGTCTAGGGGCTTCCTCTGTGTAAGACACCCCATCGGCATCACTCACTCACATGGAGATCGGGTCGTGTATGGGGGTTACCAGGGTGCCTGTTTGCAGAACTAATGGGAGCTGCCTAGGAAAGGGGAGCAGCAACAGCTACACTGGGACACTGTTCAGCAGTGCTCAGAATAACCACCTTGTATTTCAAACAACAATTGACTGCATAAAATATGTATCTGAATATATTTCATGCTACAGGGAAAAAAAATCTAAATTACTGAAAAAAAATACAGTTGGAGGATTGGAGCAGCACTATGACACTGAACTCACAGATGTGTTGGGCTCATTTTTAATAAAACATGCAGTCTAAGACTAGCAGAGTAACTCAAAGAAGTCAAATGCTGGCACTTAGCACTTCCTGTCTTCCACCCAAGCCTCCAGAGGCCTCAGCGATGCTCTGCTCTTTAATACAAGTTCTTGCAGCAGTAATCACTTCTGTGACTTACGTAAGTTGGTAAACACTCAGCCACATCCCCAAATACCTTTTCTTATGATTCTGGGAACATGCTAGTGTGTTCCTTGGGCCTAATAACCATCCACAGGTAGCAAGACAACATACAGACCTCCACACCAAGCAATTCCCTATGTATTTTAAACATACAGATAGTGCAACTTTAAAACATCACAACACCAATTAACGCCTTGCACTCATCTAACTTGTCCACTTTATACCTTGGCACACAAAACAGGAATTGCGATTCATATTATTAAACCAAAATAAAAGTTCCACACCTCAGGAGAAAAAGCAAACTGGCTGATTCTTCCCCATGATAATATATAATAATGCTTTCTTCTTTATTCAGTTAATTATAAAACAGGCCATTCTGACCTCATTTGTCTGCAAAGTCTCCTTTCAGAATTATTAAATAAATCAAATATCTCTGTGGGTCTTATGACATGATGTCTTCAAAACATCCCTTTCTCTGTTTCCCCTGCCCAAACCCATCCCCGATTATCCCCCACCCCCACCCTCCATAAACAGACCAGATGAATTTTGCATTGTTTAGTCTCCTTTGCATGCAATTCCCCTGAAAGGAACAGAAACAAAGACCATGTTTGCACATTTGGTTTTACTTAGTTGTACCATGTAAAACTGGACAACACTGTGCAGGAAAGGCCTGCACTGCCTCCTTCTGCCTTGGTGTCTCTCTCCTCATTCAAGTACACACTGGAGGGATCAGACCAGGTTCCCAGGCTTCCTGTCTTTGCCCTTGACGGGTACTATTGTGCTCTCTGAATGGTTCTGCTGAAACTGTGGTCTGCTGCCCCTGTGCGAGTTGCTGTGCTGGTGGTGGAAGAATGAAGAGCCTGGATAGTGGCCCATCACCTCGCTGTAGGTCGGGGGCGGCCCCTCCATCCTCCCGTTACTGCTGCAGGTGGCGGCACTAATGCCCGAGTGGCTGCTCGGTGGGCATGGGCCCCCGTTGTACACAGAAATGTCTATCAAGTCACTGTCAAATATGGTTCGGTTGGGTGGGGCCCTCACAGACTCCCGGTTGAGCTCCATCTGCTGCTCGGGGTCCCGGAGCTGCAGGGTGCAGGGTCCCTGGTAAGGAGGCGGCTCCTCTCCATCAGACAGAGAGATGGTGGGAGGCAGGTCGATCTCGTGCTGCACGTAGGGGTAGGTAGGCTGGAAGCGGCTGAACCGGTCCCTCTGGATAAACGGGGAGGCAGCGAACCTGTCCCTGGCCCGAGGGGTGTACATGATCTAGAAGGAAAAGAGGAGAGGGTGAGGATGTCGTGGGCACAGATGACCATCAATGGCACAGGAGCAAGGAAACATGCTTCCCAGTTGGCACACTGTCTACTACACCATTTCCCAGACAGAACAGGGAAAAATTTTTCCAGACAAAAATTTAATTTCCTTATACCTAATGACTGAGACCACTCAAGTGTGTGAAACTGCGGCACAGTCTCTGGGCTGGCTGAGCAATGGAGAACTGTGGGTAAGTGGAAGTTTGGGTTTAATGGAACTATATGTGCTCATCATGGATGCATTTCCCAAGGGCTCAAATGGGAACAGAAGTGGAACAAAGAGAACGGTGCAGTGAGCACTGGACTGGGCCACAGGCCTGAACCCGGCCACAGGCTCGAACCTGGCCACAGACCTTGGTGGCTTTATCTGTAAGAGCAGGGCAGGAGGGGACCTGCTTTCTTAGGCCCTGCCAGCTCTGGAACCTGTGATTCAGCAAAGTGGAGAGGGGCTCTGTGTTTTCATACTTTTTTTAAATACTTTTTTTTTTTAAAAGCAAGGCTCAGAAGGACAAAAATTGCAAGTTCTCCCTCATATGCAGATTATAGACCCAAAACAAATGCAGTAATATTATTGGACATGGGTCACACACTAAGGGGAGAATGTGCACGGGAGGAATAGGGAAAGGGAAGGACACCTACAACTTGAATGTGGCTGATGTGCTCACTGTAGGGGGGTGAATAAAGTAATCCTAAACTGGCAGAGGCTACTATGGGAAGGTTTCTGGGAAGTAGTGAAGCAGTCTGGTAGAGATGAACCAATGTGGGTTGTAACACATTTGTACATGGAAGCAATGCTAGGAATCTCTCTGTAAAGCTATCTTTATCTCAAACTAGCAAAAATGCTGTGTCTTTCTTATTATTTCAATGTTTTCTCTTTAACAAATTCAGAGAACAAGAGGGCAGAACAGGATCTGCCCGGGTGCGGGGAGGAGGGGGGTGGGGGGGGAAGGGGGAAAGGGGGGCAGGAGGAGGGGGTGTCATGAACAATATATACACATGTCAGTAAATGTAAAAATGATAAAAGAAAGGAAAAAAACCAGAAAAGTGACCCTTCTTTTTGATTTCTAGACTTCTCAAGCTATTTGTATTCTAGATAAAGTTTCCTTTAGTTATTTCTAGTCATTGATATGAAAAATACTTTTATTTCAAAGTAACTATGACTTAGCTTGTTTTCTCCAGATGGTATATTTTTAGTAATCCTCTCATTTATTTCACCATCCAATTTTCTTCTAGGAGACAGCTGTCACTTGCATATGTGTGTACATGTGTATGCTTGTGTATTAAGGTATCCAGCACAGAGCCATGGTTCTCTCGTGCCACGTTTTTAACCTGGAGACATGTGGAGAACCTTGCTATTTGCTATGTAACCTGCCCACACTTGCCAAGACTGCTTAGTAGGGCGAGACCAGTGACTCTCAGCCTGCTCTCTGTAAGGAGCTTCATACTCACACAAGTAATTCCTAGAAGGTGTGAGTCCCCTCATCCCCTTTTTAGCCAAAGTTACGAGCAATGCCTGTGTGGCCAAGTTTACTAGTAACCTGGCTGTTCTGCGGCTTCCCTCCCTCTGCCCCACCTTACCTCTGAGGCCCCAGGCCGTGGCACGGAGCTGTCAGAAGGCCACAGGCACCCTTCCTGGAGGTGAGGAAAGGAGAGAAGGGAGGAACAAGAAACAGAAGAAAATCATTCATTTCATACAAAAGCAGCACCCCTTGAACCATGACTGTTTTTTTTTTTTTGGTGGTACTGGGGGTTTGAACCCAGTGCCTCACACTTGCTAAGTAGGCATTCTACACCTGAGCCACTCTGTCAGCCCAAACCATGACTTTCTGAAACAGGGATCACACTGTTCTTTGTCAATGGCTGACCTGTCAAAAACATGGAGCAAAAAAAACCAGTCCTTCATATGCCACACGTGTAAATGGAGGGCTGTGTGACCCAAAGGAAAAAATAAAAAGTGTGGGTCCTGGCCATAATGGATCTGAAGGCAAATATTACTCAGCCTACACACTAGTGTGCTTCAAATAATCGCCAAACTGCATTTAGTCACTGCCTAGATTTGGGAAGTCCTTGGGTCAACTAAGCTGTGAAGCACAGGTGTCCCCAGCAAGGTGCGTCACCTGGGCCTGCCAGGCCTTGCACTGCCTCCCATCACCACTCAAGCTGAGGTCAGCAGCTGCCCACACACGAGTGCTTTCACCTCTACCGGGTTCTTTCTGAAGCCTCAACGCCCCTCGAGCATCTGCTATTGAGTCTGTTCTTCGGTCTGAATATTCACAGGGGTAACCCGACATTGTACACGCTTCAAGTCTTTTTCAAAAGTGTTTGACCAGACTGACAAGGTGGCAAGAAAACAACAGGCACTGTTAGTGGTCATTTCTAACACCACACACTTGTTTATAAAGCATTCCAACATGCTATCCCCTTAAGCCAAATTACTGCCTATTAGCCACAGTTCTGGTAACGTAACAAAGAGAGTAAGGACCACAGGTTGGGTGAGCAGAAGCCTGTATTTTTGGATTCCCGGGAATATGTGTATTAGACCTCTAAGGTAACTGAGCCACCCTGGAGCTCCAGAGTGTCCTAAGTATAGACCCCACAGTAAACCAACAAGCTGGTCAGTAGCAAGGCCACGGTGTTCTTTTCTGCGGTCACCATTCTAATATAAACACCAGCTTCACTGCTAAATAGGGAGTTTGCCAAACATACGCAATCTGTTCCTAGGATACTCGCAAACACCACAAAATTGCAGCAAAAATATATATGGACCCAGCTGTGTTTGGAGGAAGGGTGGGCTTAAGACTCTGGTGTGAAGTTATGTAACGGACCATTACAGTTTGAGCAGGGTGACAGGTGGAGGACCAAAGCTGAATCAAATGATGCAACTCATGCAGCAAAGTGGCTGCTGCTGCTCCCAGGAGGAAATTTCTCCCCTCCCCCACCTGAGTAGCTAGCACTGCACTTTGGACGGTGGCAGCAGTGCCTGCTTCTGCCCATTTGCCATAAGCCAGGACACCTCCCTGTCGTCATGCTGGCCCTGTGGCACTGTGCAGGGAGGCAAAGTCTCCTCCTCTTCAGGAAACTAGAGCACCCAGAGCTGCTGTTGTTTGGGGCTGCCATCTTAGCATGCTTTCCAACTCGCTCCATCCTTTTCTCTGTGTGTGCTGAAAAAGTGACACACGCCATGGCTACTGTCCCTGGTGGCACACAGCAACAACCATAGGGGAGATGGGCAGGCCCTCCAGGCCTGGGCTGGGTCCACTGTTGGGAGCGGACTCTACAGCCAGCTCTGGGGCTGCTTGGGGCTTCTGTGCTGGGTGCTTGATGCATGGTAATCTGTGGTAAATGTAACTTGCTAAGAAAGCAACCAATTTTTTTCTTAAAGAAACCTCTTTGTTTGGAACCTTGCCACGTGGCAGGATTCACAGAATACCCACTCATGTGCAGACCTGGGAGTGCATTGCGGTCCCTCTTTCACACAGCATGGTGGCTCTGCAGCTCTCAGCCAAGGCTCCTGCTGACTGTGGGACTACCACAGTTTTCCATCGCCACATGCAACAACACAAAGTTGTTCTAATCACGCCCCACAGAGTTCCTGGGGCCAGGAAAAGGGAGCGAGGGGGCAGGCCTGGCTATGACCCAGTCCCCACCGGCTCACTCTCCTGAGCACCCCTACCATGCCATGCTTCTCAGTAGGCCATGACCAAGCTAAGCCCTGTCCTCTCCCTGGGCCAGGGCACATGTGTCTCATGCACACAGCATTGGGTCCTACCTGCTTCTGCTGTTCAAAGTAAGGGCACAACTCTCTTTTATACTTTTCGCTAGCTTGGGTGAAAACAAGGGTCCTGCCTTGGGATCCCCAAAGCCTGAGGAAAAAACCCTGGAGCAGGAGGAGCAGGGACTAGGAGGGAAGAGAAAGTCAGGCCACTCCTGACCTGGGACCTTACTGTACATCTGTCCGAAAGGATGGCAAGTATCACGTGACTCCTTCTGTCTAGCTTTTGTTCTTGCAGGAATAATATAGCAACAAAATAAAAATTCTAAAATGGTATGCAACAATCCCATAACCCTAATACTGGAACAGGTTTTTTTGTTGTTGTTATTGTTTGTTTTTTGAGATAGGGTCTAACTATATAACACATTATGTAGCCCGGGCTGGCTTCAAACTTGCCATCTTCCTGTCTCAGCCTCCCAAGTGCTGGGATTATAGGTGTGCACCATCAGGCCTGGCTAGAACATTTTTCTCTTTATAAATGCTTTTCCAGTGTGTACTCATTTGCATAAGCTAAGTTTACTTATTATAGTTATAATAATAATTAGATTCTGCTTTGTCTCCTTGTCCTTATATAGTATGCCTGCATGCATCCCTTGACAAAAATTATTGCCATCATTACTATTTCAAAAACTATGTAACTAATAACTATCTGCTGGAGATGGAGCCTTTGGGAGGCCATGAGGGTGGAGTCCTCATGAATGAAATTAATGCCCTTACAAGAAGAGGCCAGAGAACTAGCAAGCTCTCTATATACTATTAAAGATACACATGACCTTGGCACTCTGCAATCAGAAGGGAGCCTGACCACAGCCTGGCCATTCTAGTACCAGGATCTCTGACTTACAGTCTCCAGGATGGTGAGAAATACATGTCTACGTGTATAAGCCAGTCATTTTAAGCTACTTTGTTATGGAAACCAAACTAAGAATTTTACAGTTTTAACTCTTGGACTTAGGTTTTTGTTCATTTTGAGTTAAGGGTCCATTGCCATCCTTTTGCATGTGGGTATCTAGTTACCCTGCCATCATTTGAGAAAAGACTGTGCTTTCCTGATGGAGTAGTTCGGCACTACTACTACATATGTTTAAGGTTGATTTCTGGGCTATCTAGTCTATTCCACTGATCTGTATGTCTGCCGTTAGGCTCATACCACACTGTTTGATTACTATTAATTCTGTAGTAAGTTTTGAAATCAGGGATTGTGAAACCCCTAACTTTGTTGTTTGTTTTTGAAATTATTTTTGGCTATTCAGGGTCCCTAGAGATAACATAAATTTAAGATGGATTTTTCCATTTCCAAAAAAAAGGCATAAATGGGTTGGAGAAGTCTGTGGGTGGTGCTGAATGGCCCCTAACCATATTAAGACCCCATCCATGGGTATGGGGTGTCTTTCCATTTATTTGTGTTTTAATTTTTCAGCAACATTTTATAATTTTCAGTGAACAAGAATTTAGATTCCTTCATTAATTTTATTTCTAAACATTTTATTCTTTTTGCAGCTATTGTAAGTGGCAGTGTTTTCTTAATTTCCTTCTAATATCAGACGGTTCACTGTTAATATAAATACATGCAACTGATTTTTGGGGGGCAATACTGGACTTTGAACTCAGGGCCTTGCACTTGCTAGCACTCTACCACTTGAACTATTCCCTAGTCCTTTTCACTTTACTTATATTTTGAATAGGGTCTCACATTTATGCCCTGGCTGGCCTGGACTACAATCCTATGTTGCACACCTCCTGGATAGCTGAGATGACAAGCGTGCACCACACGCCCAGATTTCATTGGTTGAGATGGGGTCTTGAGGACTTTTTTTTTGCCCAGGCTACCCTTGAACCACCATCCTCCCAATTTCCACCTCTGAAGTAGTTAGGATTACAGGTATGCATCATGGTGACTGGCTTGTTTAATCCTTTTTAAGTGCTACTGAATTCAATTTGTTGAGTTTTTTGCACTATTATTCATAAGAGAGATTGGTCTGTAATTTTCCTTTTTGTTGTGCCTTCATCTGTCTTTGTTATCCGGAATGCCATCTTTGTTCCCACCTCTTCAATGTTTTCAAAGAATATGAGAAGGATTTGTGTCAGTTCTTTAAATGTTTGGTAGGATTCACTGTTAAGCCATCAAGTGCAGTGATTTTCTTTGTTGGAAGGCTTCTGGTTATTTGTTCAGTCTTCTTACTGGTTATAGATCCCCGCAGATTTTCTGTTTCTTCATTAGTCGGTTTAGGTAGGGTGTTTCTAAGAACCTGTCCATTTTATCTAGGCTTCTCATAACCTTTCTCATTTCTATGTCTCTTGGGCAATTTTCACCCCAACAGCATGTTTTCCATTAAAGGAGAGTAGTTTGTGGCTGACTTACTGGGGGTTCTGTTATAGCCATGAGCCAGAGCCTACTGTCATGGGTCCATGTGCACTATGACAAGGGTGAGGAACCCCACACCCTGACCTTTCTATGCTTTCAACTAAATGCTCCTTACCATACACAGAGGATCACAGGAATCAGCAGCTTTGGGGACTGGAAACCAGGGAGAACACTTAATACAGTGTTGTTCAAACTGTGCTTTTCAACCTCTTGGAGAGCTGGAAAATCAGTTTGAGCAGGTTGCAGCCAGCTTCCAAAAATTAAATAGGACAGAAATGGTCTGAGTATGCTGTCTAAAAGTTTTGTTTTATGAAGCTTCTGACCTCAGGTGTGTATAAGAGGACTGTGGAATAAAATGTTTCCTACTGTTCTTCATGGTCAAGAGTCTGAAGGCCTCATTTTAAATGGAAGGCACCTGAGTCCTAAAGAAGGTAGAATACTCACTATAGGTGCCACTGCCAGTTTGTGGTAAAGCGAGGCCATTGTTGGGTATTC